CCCCTGTTTTTTAAAGCAAAATTTCCTTCCATACTCGAACTCCGAGGATGCAGCCTTAGATTTATGGGGCGCCCCTGATTTTCAAACCAAAACTTCCTATCACCCGCGAACTCCGAGGATGGAGCCGTGGACTGATGGGGCACCCCTGATTTTCAAACCAAAACTTCCTATCCCTGATTTCAAAATCAGAACTCCCCACCCGTGAATTCCGAGGATGGAGCCTCGGTGTATCGGCGTATTGCCGCAATCCTGCGCCGATCGCTCGCCGGGTCCCCCTGGGTCGGTGTATCGGTGTGTCATTCGGCGTATCGGTATATCGACGTATTTTCAGTTTTTCCACCCGCACTAAGCTATCCTGGCCAAATGTCATCGGTGTAGACCTGAGGGCAGAAGCTGAGCATGGGCGTGGCATCATGCTGCGAAACCATGCCTGCGACAGAAAGCATGTCATCTGTCGAAGCATATAAGAGGTTCCGAAATTTAAGCGACCTGCCATCAAGACTTGGCTGATTGCCACCACCTGCCAAAAGCCGTGCATTCCATGCAACTGCAGAACAGACCTTGCATCCTGGACATGCTTGGACAGGCTAAACGACGAGCGCCATAGGATTAACGGGCCGGGTGCTCTGCGATGATTTGCAGTAGCACTGCCGCGGTCTCTTTGACCGTGGTGAGGCTCAGCCTCGGTACATCGCACAGAGCAATATGCAAGTCTTCCATGCTGCGGGACCGAGCAGAAGCGTACCAATTGAAAGACTCGTATGGAGCATGTGGAGCTCATCGAGCGCTTTGTGCACCACTGCCCCGAGTCACATCTAAGTCGAGAGCAGCCAAAGTACCAGGAACCCAGAAAAGCCTGCACAGCGCAATTGCACATGTATGCTCGCGAAGGCAGCTGCGTGCTGCCCAGTGCTCAAAAGCGTCCGACATGCGTCGCAGGCGAGTCCCCCGAGGGCAGTGCCGATGACAGACAGCCCGAGCAGCTGCAGCGACATTGGCGAACCGAGTGCCTTGCCAGCAGCAGCATATCGCGATACGAGGCAGCAAGCACGAAGGTAAGTTGAGACTGAAGAACCCGCGAGAGCCCGAAGGCCTGGAATCAACAACTGGCTGTTCTCTGCGCCAGGCGCCGCACAGTTTGTTTTTGGGTCTTGCAGCCATTGCATAGCATTACTTACTACTCCCAAATGCTTGTTTTTTGCGTAGCCTCTGGATTGTGCAAAATGTGCTCGTCGATGAAGCTCGATGATAATGGGTCACTGTGACCGAGAAAGCCTGGTCAAGGCATTGAATGCCGAGCTCGATTTCTCATGGTTGGTGAATCTTGAATGCGTGCATCAACGAGTTGTCCGATAGTGCAAGCTTGTTCAAAGCCGCCGTGCGTCGCTGTCCAAGGTGCTAAACTTCCTTTCGCTTTTGTCGCCCATGTCAGGTCGATCGCTTTTGTCGGCCGGTTGCTTGCGAGTGTGTCTTTGTCGGCTGTTGGAAACCGAGGACCACCCGATGTCAAAGTTGACTAACCAACACGGAATCTGAGTCATGCTCACAGGCTTCTGTCCTGATGACATATGTAGTCATTGAACGTTGTCAGACACCGGGCCGGCCATAAACGACACTGCGAGTCCTAGCCTTCAAATTCGTTTGTAGGCTCGGAATAATATGAAGGACCCAGTAAGCAAGAATACGAACCATGCCGCCCTCCCAAAGCGGGCGGTGGGCGGTGGCGAGACTGAGAATGGATGAGAGGACGAAAAGGCAGCTTGACCAGCTGGCCTTGGGTCTCCAATGAGTACAAGTTATTGAAACAAAGCCGAAAACCCGCCGCCCCACGAGTCCAGAAAACAAATGTCCCCTGGCAACTTGCAGCACATGCAGCACCAGGCCCTGAGCATCGTGCTGCATTTGCCTCGAACTCCCCGGCCGAAAGCGTTAGACTGCCTGAACAAGCCGGGGGGTTCCTCACAGCATTGCCATGCCCCGTGTCCCGAGAGAAGCTCAGCAGAAGAAATCCGAATAGTGCAGACATCTGTGGCCCGAGCCTGGCAATGCATTCGGCACGGCCAGTGTTGATGCCATGGCGGCAGGAATGAATCGTGGAGAGTATGGTAGGTCGTACTGTGGGCGCAAACCCCGATAAGGGGAAAGCAGTATCAAAGACTGGAGGCAGCTCCTGCCCTGCAATACCATGTCTCCCTTAATTCACATCTTGCTCGAGCGCGAAGCTGCCAGTCATGGAAGACAAATCAAGACAGCACGAGCTGCTGCTCCAGTTCAGCTGCACTTCTCTGAAGCACAGCGCCACAGCCGGAATGTTTATCGCTGCCACTTCACAATGGACTTCATCCGCCTTGCTGCAATCTACTCTGGCACGGTGCGTGCACTATGCCGGACAAGACCATGTGGCACTTGGCTCCAAGTTTTCGGGCCAACATGAGCCAACTTGTCCTCGCAAACATTGCATGGGCGGTGCAGCAGTCAAACGCCCGACGGCACAGGACAACGTGGTCGCTTCGAAAGCCCGTCTTAGTCTTGAAGAGCTTGTCAGATCCATCCAAGCGCTTGGGAACAATGTCGAGCCAGTCTCTTCCGCAGCACCAAATGCGGTTTGAGTGTACACACCCGACACCACCGGCGGCTCCAAAACGTACACGATCGGATAGTTCGTGTTGTCGGCCCATTCTGCTGCAGTGAACGATTTGGCGTCACTGGTCGCTGAAGGGAGGACTACCGAAGTTTGCCGAAGGTCATGCTCTCATGGTAGCAAAGATCGGTGCGGCTATGCTCTTCAGCCAGGACATGGCTTCCGCCTCCGCAGCCTGCTTGATGTCCTGCATTTCCCACTCTCAGAGCTAACAAAATCTAACCTGGACCACTCTCAGACAACCTGCAAAGGCTCTTCAGCTCTGAGCCGATACACCTTCCGTCATTTGCCTGCCTACTTCTCCAGCTGCTGTCTCACTGTCAAACAGTGGGGCCAAGTACTCTCCGCGTCCTGTCCAAAGTTGCCCCAGGCTGGATGGATGCCGAAAGATTCTCGAACGAAGCAGAGGTTCGATTGCCTAAGGTGCCCGTCAAACATCCCATCAGATAGCACCAGCTTGGGAGATCACTTCTCCAGCGCATAGCGCAGGAGCTCGGCCGCTGGTGCGATATGGGGTGGTCGAATGACCGTGGACCAACCGGTTTCTCAAGATGGTTCGCGACTTCTCTTGGATTGTCTTCCAGGCTCGCCAGGCGATCGGGGTGTGATGGCCAGCGACCGACACCGAGACCCATGCTACCCTGAGCTTGGCACCAGGCTTTTTCTTGCCGGGCCATAGCGGCCAAGGATTCGGGAGTTCCGAGTGTTTTTACATTACTGGCCTTCCCGGCATGGGGAGGCAGCTGACCACGGGTGGTACTTCGCAAACCAGAACGACTTCAACAGCGATGATTCGAGTCGGGTACAGACTAGTATAGAGTCCATGAGTCCATGGCTTTGTCCTTTGGCGGCTCGGCCGCCTTCTTCCTTCGTCCCACCCGAATCACAATGACAAGTTGCTGCTCATGCCGCAGAAGATTCATCGTCACCTCGTCTGTGCGGGTGCAGCACTTGCTGTGCCCGACGACCTGCAAGCGTCAGTGAAGGACTATCACAAGCGAGTACTTGCAGGTGAACTGTCAAGTGTGTTTTTAAAGCCTCATTTGCCTCGCGGTATGTGTCTGTGCGGATCAAAAACACGTTGTTGGCAAAATAAGGATAGCTGAAGTTGCTGTCCACAATCAACTGAAGGGAATCGAACTCCGCAAGCCAATAGAACAACAGCTCCTTTCGAGACACCGGCAGCGATCAAACCTGCAGAAAAGGGCACTTCCTGCAGCTCCTTCAAGCCATGAAGAAGAGCCTGGAGCATGCAGGTCTTGTTCATGGACACCGGGTGGTTCTTCCACCTTGGCACGCTACTCTCCGTTCACGAAGTACATACGGATGATCTTGTTGATTGAGCCACTGTGTGTGGAGGATGCCGGGATTCTTGAACCCCAAGGCAAGTCCAAGTCATCCAACTTGCCCCGTGATCCTTCTGCAACTCCGAGAAGCCACCGCAGCTCGAAATGTTGCGACAATGCAGAGTACCACGAAATCTCGTTCCACGGGTCCTGAGTCCCACGAACGAGCAGGACTCAAGTAGACGACTCAGCGCGAGCCCCACAGAGACCACCAGCTCTGTTTGGGATTCCGGTCGCCATTTCTCCGCAGGCCGAGGATCTGGTACGCCTACAGACATGCCCTGGTCGGTCTCACTTGGCCAACACATAGTCATGAGGCTTCCTGAGCGGCAGCTGGATCAATTCTCAAGATGGCAGCTTACAATATGTGTTTGATTTGAAGATGGTCACGCATAGATTCTGGAGCAAATTTGCCACTAACTTGCAAGCTTACGCTTCGTGGACATGGGCACACTGTCTCCGGGGGTGTAAGCTGAGCCAGGGCGCGATTCTCGTTGCAGAAATGACCCGAGCAGCTAGAGAAGCACTGGAACAACCTAGGACTTCACTTCGCCGCGTGAAACGAAATTCAATCAAAGGCAAGGTCAGGCTTGGTCTTGCCGGCCTCGTCCTGTCTTCAGGCTGTAGCCACGTCATCGCAAACAGCTCGGTGGCTGGGATGCCGTTCCTCGTCTCAAAATCTGATTTTGTCAGAACTCGGCTCCGCAGTGTGATACAAGCCCTAGCGTTTGGAGTAGCCTTGGAGATTCAAGGTCACGCCTGAGGACACTGAACAGATGAAGGACTGAGGGACCCAAGGAATCGATCCGTCGCAAAGAATCTCGCGTCAGGAACCTCTTCATGCTTTCTGCAGACGTAAGTATGCCTGGGTGCACCGCGGATTGAACAAACTACTGCTATGGCGCTTCCAACGTCCTCAGACTGTCAGTATCAGTATCAGGCCACACAAGCTGTAAATCGCTTGGTTTGGGTTCTGCTCGGACCTTCTGGTGAGAAGACTCCCTCCTGGCTGGAAAAACCGGACGTCGAAGGCCCGAAAGCAAAGGTAAGCACGGGCGAGCCAGCCGGGAATGAATGCCGGAAAGAGGGTAAGACCTATGTCAATGCTTCGCCCTTCTAGCGCCCAACCATGCAAAAAGCTGTCCCAGGATCTGTGTGAGCGGCAGCGACGTAAAGCAATTGGCCTCGTCTGCTTTTCGCCCGATCTTCATCCTGCCAAGCTGTCTGCTGGCAGCACTTGTGCAAAACTGCTTCGACGTGGAACTTGATGCCATGCCTAAGCCGGTGACAAGCCACATGGACATCAAAGCGAAGGGCGGCAGGATAACATCGTCATCCAAAGAGAGGATCCACCTGCCGGACTGTGTTCAAAAATGTGGAGAGTAGCCTGGAGGACATTGACATTGAGCGCAGCGTCCAGACAAGCAGAAGCAGCCTCCATTTTCCTGAACTTAGGCAAATCAGATTGCAGATCACAAGTGTTCTCAGCTGAACTCAAGATTTTAGGGAGTCTCTTTCTTCAGGAGTTTGGTGTGTTCTGCCTGAACCCTTGATGCTCAGCAATGGCGATCATGGCGAAGACCTGTGTCGAGGGGACACTGTGACAGGCACAATCGCAAGACTTATCCTCGCATCTTCAGATCTTGACTGAATCGAACCATGGGATCAAAAATTTGATTCGCAATGACTCACCGGATATACAGACAGCGTACAGCTTACCCAAAATATTTACGCACACAAAACCTGGCCTTGTTGAAGTAGGTATCCATTGGCCGCCTTTCCACCAGCTTCGGGTTCAAAGCCGGGAAACGGTTCCTGCAGCTTCTGTCGAGAACTGGAATCTGCCCATCCCTCCGCACCATCGTCAACAATCAAAACAAAAAACCTTGCCTGTAAACTTGAAATCTTGTTCGAATTCGGCGGAGGTGCACGGCACCGCACCAATGAATGCCGCCCAGGGCAGCAAAGCTAGGACCCAGGTGCCTCCGAAAACATCTGCGTGGACGAAGGTCGTGCTCAAAGCTTGTCCCACGCGCCTTCGCCAGAAGCGGGATTGCCAGTCATCCGGGTAGTGGACCTCTTCGTGCCCGAGGGAGGGAACCCACTCCGTAATAGACTCCGTATGTAGATGCTGCGATGCTACAGAAAGCGGTCCAAGAGGCGAGCACATGCAGTCTGAAGTTTGGAAACCGCTTCCAAACCCGCTGCACTGACAGAGGCAGAAATCGCCACAACGTCGCAGTGGGAGAAACAAGCAGAAAGAGACCAACCTCGCATCTTGGTTCTTCTGGCCATGGATAATTCAGGCTTGAACTGCTCATACACTAGCTCCCAAAATGTGGCACGTATGATGCCGTCACTCAGTGTCATTCTACAGGACTCGTGTCACTGGGAAGCCGTGCGAACGAAAGTATGAAGCCTGAGACCAAGTCGAGAAGCCTCTGTGCTTGACGTCCGGCCCGCGAGGAACGGCTCCAACTCAACATCTAAAGCCAAGTCCTCGGCACACGCCTGCCCTTGCCGGGACACTCCGTCAAAGCACACACATTAATCATGGAAGCTCTTGCCTCCAGCCAAGACTCCGGACGGTAGCCTCGAATGCAGCAGCCATGCGACAGGACTGCGAAGCTAAGAGATGGCATCCCTGTCACCGTGCACATACAAGTGCGACGGAAGCGTGGCTGCTCGATGTCTTGTGAACGCAGGTCTGTCAAGCTAGCCATCGCCACGTGTTAGAGGTTCATCTCTGATAGGCATCACTCCAGATGCGGCTTACACAAGCGCTTCTTGGCCATTTCTCTGCATCCTTTGGCATTTGTGTCTTTGCTTCTAGTCCTCGCCCCCTCTACATGTCTGAGTCATTGAGGCGCTGGTGGCTTCCAGATTGCCCTCCATTGCTCTGTTGCGGGTCATTCGCACGGTGTATAGACTCAGCAGTAGCCAACTGGGCCAACTCGGCAGCCTGCCGACTTCCAAATGAAGGACTGAGCATGGGGCGTGAATTCGAGTTTGAGGGTTTGCATTCGGGTCTCGGAGCTAGGCTACTGGCGCACTTGAGCTCATGATCAAGCTGAGCGGCTTGCCAAGTTTCCATGCAGATGTCCGACCAGATCCTGCACGTGGAGCATCACACGAACGGCAGTACAGACTGCATAAATACGGTGTCGGTGCCGTTCGTCGTGGTACAGTAGTATTGACCTGACTGCGAGAGTTCGAGTCACAAGAACTGAAGGGATCAATTCAACGTTCTGAACGGCCCTGACGCAAACATTCCGCCTCCCACTGCACAAAGCTCGACTCTCCAGGCACTTCTTCAAGTTGAAGGAAACCTGTCCTCGGCAAACCCACAAACTCCACAACCTGCTAAACCTCGCGGTTCCGCAGCAAACATCGGCAAGGATTGCTGCAAACAGTCACTGTTGTGTTGTTGTGAACTGATATGAACTGATTTTCCTGCATAGAACTGAGCGTAGGCCTTATGAGCTGCAAATAAACTATCGCCTCAGATCATTTACACCCGAACTCTTCATGTTAAACCAGTTTCGAATTAAGTAGGCTTGGGCTCTTTTGCATGTTGAAAACAACAAGGGTAGCACATTGTAAGGGCTACCTTCGTTTACTTGGCGGCTGCAGCGATTGATATGCAGCTGTGTTACCATGTAAGCCATTTAAGCTCGCGCAAGCTGCAGAAAGCAATGTCTTAGACGTGCTTGCATTTGACTTCACGAAACAGGCGCTTTCACTCACTCACCGTCGTACAACCGCCCACTCAATCGGAGGGCAAGTTCTTCTCAGGCGAGGCTCCCAGAGGTCACACTGACGAAGCTGCTGGACTCGAGATTGAGATGCAAATGAAGACCCTCCCCGCCGATCTGTCTTTGAAGCCGGTCGACCTGAGGAGTGAGCGGGAACGCATGCGAGGGCAGGCTGTTGGTAGAGCTGCTGGCTCCAGCTCATCCTTAAAAGGAAGCCAGGGGATTAGGATGATTAGGCCTGCAGCGAGCACGGCATGACACTCGTTGGTTGGCTCCGAAGATCTCCGAAGTCAACACATACCCTTGCTGCACTTGCAGTCACGACCAACTGCGGCAGCACCCGAGTTTGTGATCTCCCAGACGAGAATCGGAGTCTGCGAACATTTATAGAGCTCCAATCAATCCAAGCAACCAGTCCCTCTGCAGTTTGTTCGGAGGAGTTCCATTGTAGTCGCCTTAGCTTCTTTTTTAAGCCATCATTTGCAACGTCTGAGCACGGCCGCGTTACTAGAGACATGCCAAGGGTCCAGAAATTGCCGGCATGTTCTCGTGGAGTGCGCACAGGAAGCGACAGCAAGAAGCTACAACTCTGCCATGACTCGGCGAAGAGTAGCCAGAATCCGAGCTTCATAGCTACAGCAGTGCTACAGCATTGAACGTCTCACAATGGCCTCTTAGAGGACCCAAACACGGCATCAAATCGAGCCTACCAGTCCCTGCTACAACAACCTCACCCTGAGACATCAATGTGCAGAAGTCACTTTCTTACTGAGAACCAGCCCAAGTCGATCGCTCCGACAACGGCTGCTAGCTGCGTGCCGCTGCGCTGTTCGCCGAGGCTGGCGGAGAGTCGCGTCAGGCATGCACACGTACGCTGCTGTCCTCCCAGCCCATGCGTCCACGTCAATGTTCATATACGCAGCTGCACCGCCACGCTGCGCACGCCGATTCTCCGTCGGGATGCGATGTGGTCTGGATTTGGCGCTGCTATTTGGCCTCATACTTGCCTTGCATGTCATTCCACATGGGTTCAATGATGTGCTTCAGAGCAAAGACAAAGCCCTGCTTTTTGTGGGAAAGAATCCCTGCAACCCCTCAGTCGCGAGCTTCAGCTTTCGGTGCGCTGATAATGTAATCAGGATTGGGTCCTGGGTCGATGGCAACACTCTTCTGCGCCGCCCGTCCCAGATAGTGTACAAACACGAGCTTGGCCGAAGCCATCGAACCCACCAGCAGCCAAACCGTTTTCTGCTGGTCAGGCCACGGAGTGCCTGATTCGTTCCTCAGAACCTCGGGTCCTGCCGGTGAATCGGAAAATTTGCAAATTCGGAGAGCCACAGCCAAGCCATCCTGTCCTCTTCTTTGATCGATGGATGTACGTTGAGACCCCATACTGCTGCTAGGATTACAGCAGTCTTAAGGAACCCCTGCCAAACTTTGCCTGCAAGCATGCCACGTGTTGAATTCCGGTACGCTTTATGATTCGCTCGGGGACGGAACGGGATGTGACGGGCGATGGGACGGGCGGACGGACACGTGTTTTCATATGTGTACTCGTAATGACATGTGTGTACGCGTACGCACCTTCAGTATGTTTATGTGTAGATGTACATACATACATACCTACCTACATGCAGACGGAGAGACGGACGGACGGACGGACAGACAGACAGGCAGACAGGCAGAGGCAGGCAGGCAGACAGGCAGGCAGACAGAGAGAGACAGACGGACGGACGGACGGACGGATGGACGGATAGTAAGACACACACGCTCTCTACGTGCACACATGCACACACACAGACATACACTTACATACACATAGATAAACCTACATACATGTACATACATATATACATACACAGACATACAGATTTACAGACATGCGGCGCGGATGCACGGACGCACAGACACATACAAATGCACATACACACATACGCACGTGCACACACACACACACACACTCATACATAAATCCTACCTACCTAGCTAGCCCCTGCCTACCTACCTACATACATTACATACATTACATACATTACATTCGTTACATACAGTACCTACGTTATTACAAGCATCTTACTTCGGTTTCACACTCTATCACCACTGACATAACAGAGCTCCCTGTCTCATTTTGCTGATGTTCACTTTGCTCGGATAGCTCGATCTGAGTCCAGCCACACATTCAGGGAGTGCAAAGACTGGTTCAAATCACATCTCTGCTGACGTGCAGCATAGCATGCAACATCGAAAGCGCAACTGAAAATGTGCAGCTGCCATTAACATTCCGCAGTGGAGAGCTGGGCAAAAAGGCCCATCAGAGGTCTCGTGAGCCGCTCACCGCATGCTCCTGGAGCAGACCAGCTTTCTTAAGTTGTTTCACGGCTGACCTGAACGGCAGCCACCACTTGGATAACGACAAGCTGACGGAAGTTTCAGTGTAGCGCGGGCCGGCCCATGACCGCGACGAATAAAACCCAAGTCCTGGCCAAATGAAGCTCTTCTGGCCGAAGGTGTCAAAGTCCTGAAGTGGAGGTGCAAAGCATAGCAAAGCTGAGCCTCCCAGCGGAGCAACGAAGGCGCTCCGCGCGTTTGGAGACGTGGTTTCAGGCGGCAGCCGGCCCAGGAGCCTCAGAGACTCAGGAGACTCTGTGCTGCTGTGCTGTGCTTCTTCGGCTCAACGGCTACAACTGGGCCTCCGGGCGAGAGGGAGTCTTCTTTCCGAAACCGCGCTGGCGTAGCCAGTGCAAAGCTGCACTGCTCCAACATGGGTCCTTGATTTCACAGCATTTCTCTCCTGAATGTACACTCATAGTGGTTCTTGTTCCATCAGCTGAGGCCTGGCCCGCCGATGCACACCCCGTCTTGCCACTTGCAATCTCACTAGCACATCTATCTTCTCCATATTGTATCTCGAACGCTCAGGTCTCTGCCAAACCAAATCCATGCTCTCCGAGATTTCCCCGAATGTACTCGTGGGCGATTCCCCTGCAGTGATAGTGGCAACGCTGCTCTCAAAAAGACAACTGACAGGAAAGCACGTCCAGGCAAAGCATGGCAAAGCTCATGGCGCCTTTTGCTAAGAGCCTCCGCATAAGGATCGGTGTGAACCTGTTCATGCAGGACTTGTTGGCATTCCCTCCCTTCGGCCCAACCTTCACCACAGTGTAGACCATCGCTGGTACTAAACCCAAAGAAGAAGCCAGGGTCAACTATCAGCCACCGCTGTTGTGGGGAGGGTGCAGGTGCTGTGAAAACTAAGTGTCACAGCGTGGCCTTGGCAGGGCAAACGGCATCGCTGGTGGAGCCAACAAGGAAACTCGGCCTTGGCGCACAGGGCAGTGCGAGTGCAGCATTCGACGTCTCCGCAGTCAGGACGAAGCGTTCATCAGTTAGCGTTGGCCGCATGCTATCAGGCCAGCCCCTACGTCCAAAGCTTGACTGCTCACAGCCCTGTCATTGTTAGCCAAGGACTCTGCATAAAGCGTCGGAAATACCTTGCCTTGCCTCCCTGCACCGAGACCGCACCGATTAATGCCCAAGACTCTTGTGAGCACAGCTCGTGTCAGAGGCCCATTCAAGACAACATGCCAACGCTTTATACTGTTATGCTGTCATGAACCACTGTGGACTGAACAGCATAGGGACATATAGGGACAAATCTGCGGTCAAATCTAAGCAACGCAGAGCTCAATCAGCCACACCCAACTACACATACGTCAAAAGACTCCTGAGTCGCCCGCTGCTCTTCGTTCTTGGGTAAAGTATGGTCAGATTCTTGCGACTACGACAGGCAACGCTCTTCTCGTCTTGCTTTTCTGGGAGGTCTCCCGTTCTTGCTAAACCGGAAACTCAAGATTTGCCTTCTAACTTCTAACATCCCTCGGACGCATCCATTCGTTCCACAAGGTGGAACGGATACTTGCCCTCACTGCAGGGAATGTGTCCCGAGCTATCCTGTTAGAATCGCTCAGGGCCACACGGTGCAGCAAATCCACGTCCTGGAGCCCCCATCGTTCTAGCCAAGGTTTCTCCGAGAACACCTGCTTTGCACCGGCAGCAAATGCCTGTTGTCGTCTAACGATGCACATTCTGGAAGGTATCGACACCCGAATGGCTCCTCCAAGCAGAGACTGTTGGCCTCGCACGGCTTTCACGAATGTCTTGCCAATTTTCCGAATCAGCATCAAGCTAAAGCTGATGACCGATGACACTACGGCACGGATCAAGTCGCTTGCACAATGCTTCTGTTGGTGCCATCTGCCACCCTGACGAGCCTTCCAGTAGCGAACTGGCCTTCTCGTGGCAGGCCTCAGCTGGAAGTGAAGATGACTGAAACAAACCTCAGGTCTCCGAATTTACCCATACAGTGATGGTAATGTCATGCACTTTAGCAAGAACCGGGACTCCATGCCGGATCCCAGAATCCTGCGTCACCTGGCTTTCCCCAGCCAGCACCTCAGGCCGTTTGCAACACCACAATTCCGCGGGATCTCTGGCAAATCAAGAATACTGGCCACACAGCCCCTCTGTGCGTCCAGCCAGGCTTAACTGTTGAGTTTTGTGGCCATGCACTCTAATACACCCCACCTCTTAAAGGAGGTGATGTGCGAACGTCTACGCTTGAAATCCATGCTGCTGCTCTCTGCTGTGACTCGTGGACCTTGAATCAAACTCTGGGTGCTGAGAGGTCCCACAAGCGAAATACAGGACTTGAATAATGTAGCTTGTAGGGGCACCTTGTATTTCTCCATAGAAGAGCACTAGATGTAGCATCAATCTGGATCACCTGCAGCCTGCATGCAACTTTCTCTGTCAGCACTTACGATGCTGCAACCTCCACCCCAAAGCACACGCTGGCTTCTCTGTTTTTGATGTTCACGATATGTACACCTATTGGTTGCCCACCCGGCCCACTTTCAAGTCAGCATCCATCCTGCGTCTTTTCAAAAGCCTCAGCTGCTTTGAAGAAGTCTTTGGAAGGTTGAACTTGGTCCCGATAGGTTACTGTTACTTTTGCTCAAAGAATTCTGACAGACCAGAAAACATCTGCTGCCAAGCATAGGCATAGTCGTGATGAAGTTTAAGGCCGGAGCTATCAATGCAAGGATACACCAGAACCTGCATGGATTTCTGTCTCGACCTCCGTCTTGCAAATTCGCAAAGGCATCAGTCTCGCCTGCGCATCGAGGGGGTAACCACCGCTTGGCCTCCCGTTGCGACGTCCAGGAGCAGGCCCGTAAAAAAAAAAACATTGCGAAGATCTGACGCTCAGTCTCAGCAGATTCGGGAGGCCGGTTCGAGCGCCTGTCTCTCTTGGCCAACCGCAGGCTGAGAGATGCGACCTGGGACTGTGGCGTGTCTTTGCAAGTCGGCCGGCAGAAAAGTCTGCCTGTTGATACTGTTGTGCCGACTAGCAACCAGATGCCCTCCCGCGGAGAATCCAACCGCTGCCACCTGGCAAACTCAAGCTCCATGTTACCGGCCACACAAGCCCATCGGCCCAAGTGGTTGCAAAGGTGTCGGCCACCGGCCCGTCTTTGTGCTGTCGGACCAAGGTCACTGCTGCCTCACGCCCGGATTAGGGAAGCATGTCAGACTCTGCTGCGCAGCCAGGAAACCAGTCAAAGTAGTAAAGTTTACGGCAGGAAGCTCGGGGACTGCATGGAAGTGCCTCGAGATCGGCAAGCGCATCTTCGAGGCTATAACGTGGCAAAAGCCGATAGCCTCGAAGCTTACACGGATCACCCATCTGACAGATCTCAGATCTCGAAGCAAACAGTTCTCAACACTACTAACGAAGTCCTTGCAGCCCTACGGATTGTGTCTGTGAGCCGGGCGCAACACCAGCGCTTGGATTCCATGTCTGACATCCGCATGTCAAAACTTTCGAGTATTGCAGTCCGGCAAAGAGCCTACAGCACGGATTTGTAGGTAGTTTGCGTGCCTCGCCAACCAAGCTGCAACCGGCAGCCCTGGCAGACAGATGTAGATGCATGGTAGATAGAAAGGCAGATGGGTAGTCCAAGCAGAACTGCAGCGCCTTCACTTGGGCAGAGAAACTCGTAGTTCCCACCGGGACAGATGATGACACTTCCGTTGCCTTCGTCGAAGAGGCATGCTGTACAGGCCTAGCATTGTAACACTCTCCAGACTAGTGACGAAGGTTTCGTGCCTGCCAGCGCCTTCTCGCCGAAAGCAGGTTTCAGCAAACACCTGACCAAGGCAAGTGCAGTTCGAGAAGCATCCAACGTTACCTCAACGAGATTATTTGTAACAAAGGCCGGCTGCACGGAACGTTCGGACCTGGAAGTCGGGTGAAGATTGGCAGACGACTCTGCAGCAACGCACTCTGACACATGCTAGCATGTCCGTCAAGTACACTTTTATGCTTTGCCTGCGAAAGATGTGCAACTGCACAAGAGTCACAAGAGAAGCATCCATATTTCAGTTCATTCCAAAACTGCAAACAACAAAAACCCTGCAAATTTGCTTCAGGATTTCCAGATTGGCAAAGATGCCAACGACTGATACGATTCTTGAAATCTGTCGGCAGACAAACTGCTCTGCAAGGGTCAGCTGTTCGGTCTCCAGACATGAGCTTCGCGCCATGGAAAAGTGGGTCTTCGGACAGCCTGCCGAGGCATGCTGAGGCCATGGAAGCATGCAGCAATTCGCTTGAGTACGAAGCCCGCCTCGCTAGTCGGGATTTGGCTGCACAGGCCATGCAACGAGTCCAAGAGCACCTCAGCTACAGCGTTGAGGGCTTCCATTATCAACGAAAGGGATATCCACAGACTCATCAGCTAATTTTTTTGCACTTGATGTGGCATCTGTATCCACTTGCCATTCCATCGGCTGCGTTTGCCACCTTGATGAAAGACCGAAAAGTCTCCGAGAGATTGCCTTGATTGTGTGGCGAAAGCAAGAACTCGAGCCCATTGAGCAGGAAACGCAGAGCACTCAATGGAACTGAATTCTACTGAAGCAACTCCCTGCGCGAGCACGGGCGGCTTTGTCAGTCCACTCTGGATACCCATTTCTGCCCAGCAGGGAGACTTCATGTTAAACAGTGATGCAGTGGACGTGCTGCCTGAATCCCCGAAGTTCCTTGGAATGGTTTCCAGTGACGGGCTAGCTACACGTGCGCAGCAAGACCGCTGATGGGTTGGAACGACCTTGTAATACATGGGCTGACAGCTTCTTCTGATGACGGCACTGCGCCATGTTGCCACTTTGATTACTACTGTCGGATGTCGTAGCCCAGTGATGCTCTGTTGAAGGCCAGCCCAAGAAAACAAGTGAAAGCCTTGGCCAAAAGAACTACGAAGCATCGCCGCTCGGGTGTATGACCACGAGGCTGAACTTTCTCGAGTAAAGCCGGTCAAGCTTACAAATCTGAGGGGGCTCCCAGAACAGCGCGGATGGTAAGGTACCCCAGCCCTCAAATCGTCAGTCGCCAGCATTAGGGTGGGGACACATTCACATCTCAAAGGCTCGCACACCTCTGTCACACCCCCGGCGGGAGCTCTGCACCCGACCCGCTGCGCGCAGGCCGTGGAGCGAATCCCGTGCAACCTGGGGAATCGGGAGTTCCAGGAGCGTTGCGAATCGTTGGGCAAAGTCCAAGGCTCCGGCCGGCTCCGGCTCCGGTCCCGGTGCAACCGTCGTGCCCTCGACTCGACTACCTGCGGGTGTTAAAAAAAGCCTACACGGCACACGAAATCATCAAATCTGTACAGTTGCTTTTTCCCTGGATGCAAAGCTTCTGGATGGCATGGCAGGTCGAGCCTCTGCGATAGCTCGTGGGAGGTAGCGGCCTTGTCGAGTCCAGTGGATTCAGATGCAAGCCATTGGGACATGATGCGACATGTGTCTCTGACCCACCTGCGCCGCTGCCCCGTAACGGAAGCGCAAATGCCTATCACATGGTCTCAAGGACAAGGCATCCCTGAGACCCGAAAATTGCCTTCGGGAACAACGCGCACCTCTAAACTTGAATGAGGCCGGGAGCCGTGTCTGTCTGTAGGTTGCGGGAGCTCAGTGGGCTAATCCGAAGTGCCAATCATAGCCCAAATCTTCGAGGTATACAGGTGAGTCGTCAGGTAACACGCATATATGTGCCTGTGCCAAGCAACACCCATTCGCAACTCCCCTCCCTCAGCCTGATGTGCGCCGATGCCACGAGGAAAGCCAATGCCGCGGTGACACCACAAAGCCCGAAACCGACCTGACACAAAGCAAACCGACAGGCCAGGCCAGCGGTCCAATCTTCGCAAACGCACTGTCAAGAACCAGGTGGCCAGAGACTTGCTTTTCCAGGGACGGCGTCCGGGCGGCAACCCAATCCTCAAGGTTGCAAGAGAAAGAACCGCAAAGGCTTCAAAGGAGCTTCGGGGATGCCCGGCCGGGCCTAGAGTCTTGGGAGTCTTGGGAGTCTTGGCTCGTCTTGAAAGCGCCTTGGCGGCCGCGAGCCGAAGTCGTAGGTGACAGCAAACTTGCCTCGAACACCATGGAGGCAAGTCACCAGTCGGATCAGAAACGAAAGCCACAATTTGCCAGGCAACGGTGGAAGACATCGCCAAGAATCCATGTCCTTGGCTGGGAAATGCGCTGCTCCACGAATCCACATCCTGCGCTGCCGAGGCTCCTCTCTTTGTCACGGGCCTGGACGCAGACCTGACAGCCTCCCAGCTGCGAGAAGCCGTAGTCCTCGCCTTAGGGAGAAGGGGAAGACCAAGATCCAAATAAGGTTGCCATCAGTGGCTATCCGTTAGGCCGCAGACCAGTGAGCGTGTAGTCCTCCCAGGCATGTGAGTAGCTGAAGGCTAAGTTATGAGTAGTCTGGATTCTGCACGCTTAGCATACGCTGGCCTGACCGCCCAGTGTCAGCGTCAAGGGTGGCAAAGCACTGCATCGCGTGTCACTGTACTGGGCCTGTCCAAATATGTCCAAATACTGGAACTGTAAAGAACTCCAAACGTGGCCGTGACAGTGTGCAGAGACTCCCTCAGTTCATGCGTGTTACTGCCCCGCCCCCCCCCCCGCTTAACGGAAGCTACCTCTCAAAGCGGTCCAGCCCCATTACCTTCTCAGAGACATGCAGCAGCAAGCGAAAGACGATGCCACAGAAGCTCTGATCTCCAGCCTCGCGCACGGCATCGTAGAACCGCTGCGCATCGCGGCCAGGCAGCACCAAGCAGCTGGTGCCCGAATCTATGAGGCCTCGGGAGCACACAGTCGTACACATCGGAATGCAGAAATCTCAGTGTGCACATGATGCACATCCTGTGGCCGCAGCCTACGCGACCAGTGAGAGACATCCCCGCGAATGAGACTTTGTCCATGCTCACTGCCCAATAACTGTAGGCGCTGCGGCCTGAGGCAGAATGAATAAAGGATGGCAAAGACAATGAGCAAGCCGAGCGCGACAGTAGACTAATTTAGGTCTGGCCTTTGATAACTTCTCCCTGGAACCGCTGAAAAGAAGGAAGCTTCCTACGGCTTATGTAGTCAAACCAGCCAAGTTATGCCAACCCAGACAGATGAGGGCGCTTGGTCAGAGCGCACGTGACGACTGGGCAGCTGCGTCCAGAAGTTTGCTCAAATTTGCACAATTACTCTCCACTCTCCTGTGCGAGCTTGAAAACTTCTCTCCTAAAGAGTTGGAGCCTGCTCCAACGTGTATTTTTAAACGACGGTTAGAGAACTATGACGGACAAGGAAACATCCAGTAAGCTGTGATTTCAGTTCTGGGCCGTTTGCAGTAGAACCTTCGAGAACCCCTCAGCCATTCTGAGCTCGGCCTGGAGCACCCGGACTCTCCGTCACATCCAGCCACCTGTCAATCCAGTCGCTGCGTGCTGCAGGCCTGACAATGTCTTGCAGAGTGCTGCCAAGCCACCGGATCCCTTGTGGGTACCGCTGCGTAGGTACCTCGCCAAGGTTGAGTTCGAACTTACCTGCCCGCACGGCACACCGCAGCTGTCGAGGGAACTTCGCCAAGCAGGAGCTGTCCTTGGCAACAGGGCACACTGATTCTGATCAATCGGAGCCCTCCTCCGAGAGCGCACTTCCCATCTAATGGAACCCGAAGTACCCAAAGGCCCACTTGTGCCAAGCCACCTGGCTTCGCGGGATCGCTGGGCATCTGAAACGAAAACACCTTGTCAGACAGGAAATTTGTTCTGACAAACGGTGCCTGAAGGCACAAGGGACCTGGTCCTTCATCTGCTTGCCGTAGGCTCTGAACAAGCTTTCCAGAGGACTCTGCACACCTGAGAGCATCTCAACAAATTCGGAATTCAGGGACCTTGAATGCGGTGGCATCCGTCAATATCCTTCGCTCAAGAGCATGTGCAACATGGCGATCATTCAAGCTGTCAGCTACGCCCTCCTGACCAGCTTTACCCCGCTGCGTCAAGAGGAGTGCAGCAATTTCTGCGATGTTGCCAAGCTCCCAGCCGGATGGCGACGCCAACCCAGAAAGCGCCAGCCCGAAGATACCATCGAAGTCCTCAACAATTGCAGATTATCCTTCTTAGAGCTTTTACATTCGGCACTCGCACTGCCAGTAGCTGCACACCAGTCCCGTTTCGAGAACTTCTATGTGCGAAAACAACAAAGGACATCCTTCGAGAATGAAAGCGCCGCACCCACCCCATGCACGGAACTGCTGGCAAGTGACAGAGTTGGGGAAAGGGGAGCTCACTTGCACCGCCTTTCACAGTGCTACCAGGAACATGAAGCACAAATTTAAAGGCAAGCGCAGCATCTCTCATGCTATATGTCGGCTCAAGCTGCACAGGAAGCGCAAAGGAGGTGTGCCAAAGTCGTGGCACTGAGCACCTCGACGAAGGGCACCTGCTCCACTGTGACGTTCCCGAGGTGCAGGCTTTCCCTTGCCAGGTAACCTTTGCACGAGCCTCACAAGTGCAGCCGACGCAAGCATACGGCAGGTATCCCCTCTGATGCTGCCGGACCGGCCTGTACCGTAGGTGAGCCTTGCAGCGGTGATCACGCAGACTGCACAGGAAACATCACAAAACTGGGCACATCATCTCTGACCGTTTGAGCTTTTGGAGACTTTAAAGGCAATGTCGGGATTTCGCTTCAAACATTTCCAAACCATAGAAAAGCTGGAATGCTGATATTCATGTAGAAGTTGGCCAATTGGAAGGATTCATGGCGAGAGTGAATTCGTCCAACAATGGCAGAAACATCAGACGGGCTGGAAGCTGGCCGAAAAACATAGCAAGAAATGCCATGCGGATGGCCGGGACCGCGGCTGGCCGGTACGACAACGCAGATCCGCCCCTCACACTGCCACGACTTCACAGGCACTTGGCACAGTCACCAAGGCCATCCACCAAAGCGACCCAGTAACTCTCAGCCGCAAGAGCAATGCAAGCGAGAGCCGTTGCAGCAGACATCCGGACAGTCCATCAAGCGTGTTTAGAATCTTTGCGTTATTTATCAAGAAGACCTCGCTCGCACGACCGATCCATCTGAGGAGAGCAGGCCATGTGAGACTGAAATTCTAGAACTCGTGCCTGCTGGCAACAGGACGCTTTTGCTCAAAGAACTGGTCTCAAATAACGCAATGCCGGGCAGCTTGACAATGTAGTTAGAGTGCTCATAGGTGGATGATCTGGGACCATCAAACTTGCGGTGAAGCCTCGGATGACAGCACGGGCTCTCGCTGGTATTGCCTGTCACTCCCATACCCTGGACGAAGCGATGGAGCTGAGACCCCTTCCTGCATCGCCTGAGCTCCAGACTTCGTCGTGTCACAGTTGATGCACTCTGAAGACGGTACCCAAAGATTGGCTGAGCCTGCAGATCTCAGCTAATCAACAGACGAAACCGAGGTTAGCTGCTGTGAAGCTATTATACTGCCCCATCCTGTGTCGAAAACCACGCGGAAGGCTTGAACAGGAGTCCCCAAGCCAACGGCACCTTGGATTTCTGTTGTCCACGAGCAAGTCAAACGTGAGTGGCGCATTGCTGGTGCGGATGCACCCCGATTTTGTCCCAGTGAACGTATCAGGGAAGAGACAACACATACAAAAGAGTTCGAAGTAGTATGCACGTAGAAACACCTGCAGTCTCGTCTAGTGTGTGGCCGACCTGCTTCGAACGACGTGAGAACACTGAGATCAACCATGTTGCCGAAATAAATCACGTCATCCTCGTTCTTTATGTCGATCTGTCAGGGGTCGCTCATGCGAACACCATCACATGTCTGTAGTCCGGGTAGCTAGCTTGTGATGATCTGCCTCCACCGGAAATGGAGACTTCTCAGCCAAATGAGCGTACCTGTCGCGGTCAATGGCATGTGCCGCGTTGAGCTTGCATTTCCCGGTCGGGAAGCAAGGCTGGTCAAACCAGATTCTAGATGCTCGCTTCGGTGGAGGCAAGCTCTCGACATCCCATATTGCCCATACTGACTCGTGCTGTCCTGTGCTTGCACTCTTCTAGATTCTAGAGTCATGGAACCGCCGACTTACGACTCGCCTCTCTGGCAAAGCTGTGTGTCAAAAACTACAGTGCCACTCGTCTGCAACCGCAAACGGAAACAGCAGTCCACCACTCACCACTCGTAAGGTGTCGATGAAGCCAGCATAAACCGCCGCCGAACAATGCTTGTCAAAACACTTAGCTGATCTCGGCGCAGCACGACTGAATGCCCACCGCCCTTCTCTGGCAAACTGCTGTACGACACCTTCTCCAGAAGCGATCGTGCGCATGTTGGCGACTCCGACCTCAAGAGCACTCAAGACGTGGGTCAATAAGGATGTTCTGTTTGACAAAGACACACACTCCGGCTACCAGCACTGGCGGTTTTACATCCAGGAACCCCTTCACTGACGGCTGGAAAGCTGCAGAAATGCTCTCTGAATTCTGATGTACAAACGATCCTCTGCAATCCGACATTCGCTCCAAACTTCAGAGCTGCAGTCAGGCATTCTCTACCCCCGCATCGATAGAAAAAAACAAAGTCAATCCGAACACCATGCCGGCCTGAGATCGGATGGGGCTTTGCCATTCGCACCACTGGCCTTACACCGGCTGCCGGTAATTGCAGGAACTGAATAAGGTCGCAAAATCGAATGCCAGCTTCCCGTGGTCAGGTAGACTTCAGGCTCAGTGCCCAATGCACAGCCGCCGAAGCAAAGACTAAACGAGACTCTTCGCTGCCAACCCCTGAACTGCCCCAGACCATACTTCGACTACGGGCCTGAGATGGGCAAAGACAACACAAGCCTGCAGCAAAAACAAACCTTCGAAAGCAGTCATGCATATGTGCGCAGACACCTTTTTCATGCTTGTATAAACAACCAAAATGAACACATGCATATACGGTCATATACGTAAATGCAGACAATATGTGGCCTCCCTGAAGGCACCCCCAACCCGCCCTCGTAACTTCCAGAAATTATTCGACATGCGACGCAACTTCACAGAGCGAATGGAGCATACCACAAAAACTGGGCACCACCGGCACACCGAAAGGGGAGCGCTGCCACCACTTGCGCAGCAACAACCACAATACGACTGGCAACACTATCCACAAATTGCTACTACCATACTTATATCAACTCCCTTCTGTGCGAAAAGGGGTAGAGAAAGAATCCAAACAGGACCCCACAACAGGGGGTGAACAGCGGGAAGATACCACGCGGTAGAGGAGGCTAAGGCCCTCTGTCATTCGTATGTATGTGTATACAAACGTTTATGCATACATACAAATATGTGTATGTATATATATATATACATACCTACGTACATACATAAACACATACCTACCGACCTACATACACGTACGTACGTACATACATAAATACGTACATAAATACATACGAGTACCTACCGACCTACGTACATGCATACTTACAGACATACATACGTAAATACATCCATACAGACAGACAGACAGTAAAGTTATGCATGCATACACATATCCCCACACATGCCTGCAAACACCGAACCTTTCGTTCTTCGCTGGCCATGCTGCAATCTCAACACCACGCTTCCAGGCGACCTTGCCGCGGGGCATTCAGACGCATTTAGACCTCTCTACAGATTGCATGTAGGCCATGTTGAACAACTTGCTTTTGTGCAGCTTGGATGTGACAGGACTACAACAAGCCCTAGCGGCTCTCGAGAGGCTCGAAAGCTCGAGGTACTTGCAGTCAGGAGGCATCATCTCAACAGCTCGGCCTGGCAGAGCCGACAGGACCGTTGGAGCCTCGTTGGAAACAACAGACCTCGCGTTTGGTTCAGCGTCAGCCTTTCCGGACAAGTTCCGAAGCTTGCCAAACATCTCAAAAACTGCAGCCTCACACATAAGCTCCACAAAACATCGCCTCCGAAACCATCAGCCATGGGCCTCTGCTGACTTGACTCCCGACCAGCATCATCAGGACTCCGGCCAGGCATGCAGCAAGGAAGCCTGCAAGCGGACAGGAACAACTAAAACCCTGACACTTCGCCGTTTGAAAATTGAGCGGCAACACTCACAAGCCACATCCCAAGATGTCTTGATCCAGAGCATAAGAAGCTCGATCTTTGAGAGTCGAGAATTCAAGGGTGACCGGCCACTTGAAAGAAATGTCCTCTGACGGAGATGACATGGGCTCAGCTCATCATCGAATTGGGAATCAGTTCCCGCAAACAAACCGAAGGCAGTGTACGCGACACTGCGGGATGCCTCCTGCCGCGCCTACTGCAAGCAGCGCGCGAGCGCTGCGCACACGCTGAGGTCCAGCCTAGCCAATGCGCCGGCATGCCGGGGCTCCTCCCTCTTCAACAGCAGAAAGGACAGGCCCTCTCGACCCTCTCCGCAGTCTCGGCTGTCGGCCTCCATTGCATCGTGGTTGCCACCCAGCCGCCTCAGGGCAAGGGGCCCCACAAGACGAAGCATCGCAAGGACAAGCTTGCTCAGAGTCCTCTGGCGTTGCTCTGTGCTTCCCTCCCTCATCGCCCTTTACTTCACTCCCCGGCCCTGCTCCCTTGCCGGACATGCGCTGAGCAACACTCTCCTATTTGTCGGCAAAGGGAAGACTTACCCTGCAGCGAGGCGTGGGCACAATTTGTGATCGCTGCCCTCTGAGGCTTGGTCTTTGTACCACGCCACAGCCATTCCCCTTGACCGTGCTGCGGTTTGCCCCTATGACACAAATTAAGAAGGTGGGTGTACCACATCGGTGTCACGACACGTCATCCCTGTTTGGGTTTGCCTCTCAGTGCAGTTCCAGGATGCAGGTTTCCCGGTGGTTGCAAAGGTCTATACAGGTCGAAATCTTTGTAGCCGTCTCCTTGAGCTGCGTCTCTTGGCGGCCCCTGCCTTGTTGAGAGCTGTATTCATGAACTGTTGTGCCAGCCCTTCTCCGCGGCGTGCCGCTCTTTGCTTGGGTGCCCGCCGTGATGGTTCAGCCGACTCGGTTTGCTTGGTGTCGCCTGGTACCCATCCAGCTTGTTGTGGATTCGCCTCGTATGCCTCCTTGACTCGCCCCCTGCTTGCCCCTTTGGCTGGGATCTCATTGTCCGCTGAGTCCTCCTTCGTGGGCATGTTTCTCATTCTTGGCGTTCCTGCCATATTGACGGTCATGTCATGTCTTTGTTTGTGTTGCCTCCCAGTCTCTGCCTCTGGTGTCGTCTGCTTGGCGACGGACGGCCTCAAGCTCCGCCCGAGCAGGGTGTCCAGCCCCCGGACTGGAGAGAGGGCGCACGCCCACAAGGAGGGCGTTTCGGCAGATCACTTGAGCGAGCATCATGGTGCACACCACGCACTGGAGTCTTAGCTCGGAGTCTCGGAGTTGAAAGTACCCTCCGGACTTAGGACGCCCTAGCCTGAATTTCCTGCAACCTTCCGTGTGGAGTACATTCTTGTCCTTTATTTCTTTCCCTCGTCTTCTGCATGGCATGGGAGATGTGCAAAATCCCCTCGCTCCCTCTCAATCGATGCCTGAGTGAGTCCACTGCTGCCCGCATGGACATGGCTTGAACGGCAAGCGTCAACGGGAAAAGAAGCCTGCGGTACCCCGTAGCCTGCTCTTGCTGTGCAACAACTGGAACATAGATGTCAATTTAATTTGCTTCTCAGAGAAGCGTACTGTCAATGTGCATGGCAATGTCTACGGTAGGCTCGAGCCTGCACTAAACTTGCCAGCACAGGAAAATCCCTGCGTGCACATGCAGATGCAGGCGTGCATCTGTGCGCGCGAAAACTGCTGCAGCCCTGCATATGCAAGTTTGAAGCTATAGCAACCCCACTTGTAGTTGTCCCTTTGTGCTCTTTCGGTGCCTACGTACCGTACATAACCATGCATTCGGCTTATTCTTGGAGCAAGTAGCTGGAACATAATTACAATGCCTCTTGATGCTCACGCCATCCTCCCAAAAATTACCGCGGAGAGTTGTCAAGGGGCACTGGTCAGCTCTGATCCAAACCAAAGCTGACACGGTGCCGCAATCATTTGCACCATCGGTGCGCATGCATTCTGTGATTCACGTCTCTGGCTGAGATCGCGACGAATGGCACACAAGAACAGGCTCACCAGCTGCGGGTTGGTGGAAGCACCTACTGCCAGTGAACACCATTGAAGTCGATGGAAGCATTTTCTGAACTGTACCAGTATATTTTCTGTATTTGCCTCAAAATCCCTGAACCCATTCAGAAATCATGGAACACATGCTTGTCCAAGGACCTGCTGCAGCACCCGTGCCGTCGGCCATCCTGCAAGCACTTGGGAAACCCGTTTGGATATCCGACATTTGGGAACACGTTGCAGTTGACAACTAATGAACGGTCGTTTCACCTGCCCGACATGCCAAAGTGTTCAATCATACTAAAGAAGTACCACTGAAGTGTGCACTTCTGATGCATGTGTGTAGATATATATATATATACACATACAGATATACATATATGTATATACATGTATATATACAGATATATACATATATCTATACATGTCCACCCCTACAGATCTGCGCTTGGACTGTTTTTTTCGTGGCTTGAACCCCTGACATCACTAGCACAAAGACACGAAGCTGAACACAGACTTCTGGTGGCGAGAATTGCTTCTTAACAACAAGAAACAGGCCCGAGGACAGTATGCTGGTGCTAGATGCTGCCTTTCCTCGGCTACTAAGACAAGAAAGCGAAAGCCTGCTTGAAACCGCAATACTGGTGCTAAGTATATAGTTAATTAGAGTTTCGGCCGGCTTGTTTGTTCTTATCCAAACAAAAAGACGAAAACGACTTACAGCCCTGCTAGGTCGGGTAAAGGAACTCTCTTCGAGCATACTACTGCAAGTACGTAGGTACTGCCTACATCCTCATTGCCCTGGATGCAACAATTGTGTGCAACCTTTGTGTTGACGACAGCAAAATACGACCGTTCAGCACAGCAGCATGCAAACTCTCGACATTAACAAGGCCACATCGTAGCGGGAATCTGCCATGAAGTGTTATCTTTGATCGCTACACTCATAGTGAAACGACCACATCAGAATAAATTTCCGCTGGTATGCTTTTGCCGGGCCCGGTATTTTCCTCAGCCGCGCCAACGAGAATGTGCTGCAAACATGATATAAACCCAACCCGCGCCCAAGCAGTTGAATTTCTGAGCTTATGTCTACATGCGTATGATACGAGCTGATGTCCGCCACCACAAGGTGTACCTTCCCGTACGTACTATGACGGCAACTTTGAACATAGATCAGTACAATGCATGCTGTCATACTTCAACGGGTCTTGAAGAGAATCCAATATCATTTCTGGCATGGCAAATCTATAAGCGTACTCTCGGATTCAGGCCAAGATGTTAAGTTCCCGAACTTCCTTCTTGTGCCTGCAAAATCACTTCGTCCATAAACACTGCTTATTACACTGCTTGCAAGTCCCTGCAATCGAGGCAATTTTTGAGCGTGTTTCCATGTGAGCCGCCATGAACCACAGTCTGTGAAGTTTCATACAAACAACAACACAAGTGTCCACGGGAACGTTATCATCCTGACTACACAAGTCAAGTCTCCCGTAGGGTTTTGAATATGATCCAGGTTCAAAGCAGAACTATAGAAATAAGCCCGCGGGAACCGTCTAATCCACACCTGTGCTTGGCGTTGTTGTTGGGTAGTTGTGGTTGTGGTTGTTGTTGTTGTCGCGAAGAATTCACTATGTCCACAAAGACGGCTTGATCCAGTTGAGTCAGCCGCATGCCAGTCCATGCAATCTGGGCTGCGCGTTTTTCATGCTGGCTCCGATTGTCCTAACTACAGATCCCGATCATTTCTTTAAACAAACAACGTGCAACTCTTTTTTCTTCGGCCGGTGTATTCCCATGCTCCCTATCGGAACCTCGCCACGCACTCACATCTCAATCGTGAAAATGTCGATGCTTGATTTCCTAGTATCTATTGTCAAGGAGCGTTTTCCGTGAGCGAGTACGCGTCCGTCTCGTCTGTCACACGGTGACCGGTCTCCAAGCCCATCGGGTCTATGATGCGGCTTGGGCTACACCCTCGGAGCTTCTGGGCTTCTATGTTAAAGTCTGTTTAACTTATGTATCATCGAAACAGCACGGACACGTGGTGCACAAGTGTTGCCAGTGACCTAGGTTCCTAAGCACATACGCAGCCTGACAATCACTTGCCCCCATTGCATGGCTGCATTGATCGACAACATTTCAAACGCCCGAGCCCCAAGAACCATCAACCAAGATGCCCGGGACTCTTGCAGCTTGTACCTTGATTCCACGGGCCTGTCTGTATTGAAACTTGCATCCGAGATGTGAACTTCAATGCAGCCGGGTCCCAGGAACTGAGAACCAAGATACACAGCACTCTGGAATCTTTGTTCTTGGTTCCGGGGGCCTGGATGCATTCAAATCCGCATTGAAAATTGATGTTCAATGCGCCCAGGCCCCAGGCACCTTGAAGATCACATCTTAGATGCAGGTTTCAATGCAGTCGGTTTCACCTCTGTTTCGTTTCATGTGGGTTTGTGCGCATGAGTATTGCATGGAAGCTGCTGAGTGAGTGACTTATCTGGTAGCGGTCGGTTCGTTGGACTGCGACTCTTGCACGGTGTTGGACTTTCCTTGGGTTCATTCGTTGTGACTTTTGCATGGTGATGTAAAAATCAAAGCAAGGCAGATCCGTAGGCGGTACTGTACATACAAAGATATATATATACACACACACTTTTGATTTCCATATATACATGCATACACACAGGTGAACCTGTCTTTAACCTGACTTTTGGAAGAAAGCAGCCTCGCGACGTGAGGTCACGACATGCGAACACACGGCGTACGACTCCCTGCATGTTGCACGGAGGAGTCGATGCATTGAAAAGCGCATGTGATAGTCAACGCCTAGCCGTATAACTCGCAAGAAGCAAAGAAGCTCGGCGAGACGGAGTCTGCAGAATCAGGCTGCATTGCCCGATCCTGGCTGTCCAGCACGAGGCGATGACCTTCCCAGCATTTGCGCACGGGTCCTCGCCTTGGAGCCACACGACCACTACTGCACGGCGCCAGAGGTTACCGTGTGTCACGGTGTTCCTAAATTCTCAAACCATTACCAACCCAACTCAACTTTAAGGAATGCTCTGTCGTCAGGTCTAGGGGCCGAGCTCAGCATGCAGAGCAATCCAGCCCGGCAGTTCCGACCACCATGGCCTGCAGACAATGCCGTCTGCAGCAGTGAAAGACGAGGCCCATCAATTGCTCTTTCAAGCCCCACCCAAAACACTGAAGCATTTCCAATGCCAAACTTTGCCAAATCTGTTTGCGAGCAAACATCTCAGAAGCGGATGCCTTGCTCTTCACATGCCAAATACTCGGGAAGACATGGATAAAGCACTTGCTTCTCCAAGCCTGGACACCAGAGGAGCTTTGGAACCTGAGAATCTCTTCCGCTTTGGGAGATGCCTGAGCAGCTCAGGTGCTCAAGAACTTTTTTCGAGCGATGACAGCAAGCGCGAGATCCGTGATGTGCAGCAGAAGGCGGAAAATATTGCGCATCAAACAAGCCTCGACGACCTCCAGAAATCGTTTCAGCATTGGTGATGTGCATCAGACTGTCCAACACTCAGAAACATCCATGAGGCGGGGGTAGGTCACATGATCAGATCCGAACTGCACAGCAGGCTGAGGACTCGGCTTTCTCAGCAGCAAGCGGCCAGGCTTAGGACAGAGCAACGTCTGCCTCCCGGTCCACGCTGGAAAAGGCAGAGCTCAAGCGGCAAATTCCCTCGGCCCCGTCCCGGTCAGAGGTGCCCGCTTTCATCTCCGGAAACTAATCCACTGACCCACTCCGTTCAATGGCAATCGACCCCGCCCTCAAATTGGATTTTGATGCCCTACCCACCCTCCGTTTGCTTCCAGAAATTGAAGTTTGCAGCTGCTCCCCCCTATCCCCCACCCTCACACCCCCGTCTTTCTCTGCCCCACTCCTACTCGGATCGTGCCAAGTGCCCGAAACCATGCCACGCTAGCTCCTTTCGACAGGTCGCAGACAATTTACACCCAACAAGGAAATCGACCTGCCAGTTGGGCCCGG